AAGAGCGTAGGAAATTTTGGGGGGAAAGGGAGAAGTCAGACCCTTGCGGGACACAGATAAGGTTCATTATCTGTTGACGAGGACGTGTGTGGTGGTCTCAGCTGGGCGGGACTGAGGTTATATCCGGGTAAAGTCTCTTCACATCCAAATGCTATATAGCGACTTAATGTATGAATAATAATAAAAATAAAACAGAAAAAGAGTTTGTGTTGTACGTGTTTTAACCAACATCTCTAATGCCCTGTTCACGTATGTATTTCGTTTTAACATATTCCTTGTTGAAGATCTGATGTTACAGACAATGCAGAGGTAAATGTCACCTCATTCCAGGCTGAAGTATCTCAGACGAAAAAAATTTAAATTTTTCATAATAATTTAACACGTGTTAATACGTTTTAAAATTTACTTTTGGTGGTTTTTGTGTTATAGGCGTAATAGTTTTCTATAAATGTTATCAGTCTAGGAGGCCAGCAGGTGGCGTGGTGGCTAAAGGCACTGGACTGCCACGAGGCTGACGGTGGTTCCAGTCCTGACCCTGGAGGCTTGACAAGCAGGCTGAGCACACGGGCATGCGTGCCCCAGATCCCAGGGGACAGTGAGGAGAAGGGACTGCAGTGCGGCCCTCCTCCTCAGACTCCTCAGAGGGGATTTCTCCCTCTCCCTCTCCCGGACTCTCTGTCTCTCTGGCAAGCGCATGTCCCTGTGGCAAAAACCTAAAACAAACAAAAATGGCACCCGTCTAATACCTGACCACTTAAAGGCTTTTACATGGTTAAATGAAAGAATTTTTTAAAAATTATTTAATTCCATTTATTATTTTTATTTTTATTTACTATAGGGCATGTGGGCTCACTAGAGACAGAGATGGGGGCAGAAGGTGGGATTATGAAAGCAAGCTGGTGTCCAGGACTGGAACTGCCATCAGCCACAGGGAAGTCCAGCACTCTAACCACTATGCTACCTTCTGGCCCAATATAAGGTGTTTTTTTTTTTTTTTTTTTT